TTAATTTTGCTATTGATAGGTGGTAAGTTGATTTTAACTGTAAATAAACAGTGTTGACGTCCGAACGGCGAATTGCAATGCTTACTTTGAGTGATTGCCTAAAATAATGGCAGATAAAATCGGCACTGCTGGGTCGTGACATTGACGGCATAAATTCAAACGAACGTAGAGATCTTTTTGATCAAACAAGGCTTTTGGTGATTCAAACAGGATTATTTTCAAAGTTGTCATAGGCTGTTAAGAGACCGCAACGCGCCACATCAAAAGGACTCATGGAGCAGCCGAGACATGTCAGTTCTACTAATTTTTGATGAGATAAACAAGGCTTTGAGCTCTGGTGCGGCTTAGCCATAAACTAACAAAGTATATAAGGCTTCAGTACCAGAATGTGAAAATTAGGAGTGTCAGGCGTGTCACCATGAGCAATCAGAGCAGCAATGTAGGAAGTCAGTCTTTCGGTAACCAAAGTCAAAAAGCAGTAGTGAAGAATGCGGACATGTCAGAAGAGATGCAGAGAAAGGCGGTAGACTGTGCTAATGAAGCAATGCAGAATCATGCTGTTGAGAAAGACGTTGCGGCAGCAATAAAAAAGAAGTTCGACAGTGAGTACGGTCCAACATGGCACTGCATTGTTGGCCGAAATTTTGGAAGGTAAGATGGCACTCTCAAAAAGAACAAAATGAAAAATGCTAACTGAACCACCTTTTTTCTGCTATAGCTATGTCACCCACGAAACCAAAAACTTCATCTACTTTTACATGGGTCAAGTGGCCATTCTCCTCTTCAAGTCGGGTTGATTGCTGTGTCAATGTTAATGGCAATTTTTGTAGCTTATGTCAAAATATCCAGCATCGCCTTTTCTGTGTTTTACCTTGATGGCAACCTCAAAGCTAAATGAATTTTGACAACTTACAAAAAAACCTACCCACCTTAAAATACGACCAAAAAGGCAGCAAGATAGGCCTTTTAGTCACAGTCAACGAAAGGGCAAGCGCTGCATCCCAACTGGTTTACCCTTCTGCAATATATTTTTAAAAGAAAGATTTTTGATGGGGTGGGAAGCTTTAGCAAGTAATGCCAGCTATGCGAAGAGATCGCCGCTTCTCTTACGATCGGGTACAATGCAAATTGAGCACTCGTTAATGCATTGAAGTAAATGAAGTAGAACGAATTTTCGGCATTCCTTTAACAGGAATTTTTCTTTCCTGCAGGAATAGAGTAGGCTAATTTTATAAACTATACATAACTTTGCCCCGAATTTTTTAAAATTTTCACCGAGATATATGATTGAGAAATAGGAAAATTAACAATGCATCCTCAAAAGTCATTTCAGTTCCACTTTAAATCGGGTGCATGTTGAGAGGCATTGCTACACTTGTAACCCGAAATAATTTTATATGAATGCGTTTCACTACTAATTTCAAACAGTTTTGTTTAGTCAGGCACAGAGTTCGATTTTTCAAAAGTGGTCTTCAATTAATGCTGTGTTAAAGTGACATTACCATGTTCTTTAATAATAGTGTTTCGTAAGCTTGGATGGCTAAATTTATCGCTCGACACATAGCACTAACTTGTAGCAGAGAAAGAACTTGAAGTGACTTTATCGGTAATTTATTCTCCGAAACGTTTCAGACTGAAAACTATCAGTGCTGTCCATAAACCCTCGATCATTGGCGGCGATCCATTTCCCAATTACAGGGAAATCAGATTGATGCAAAATATGTGCAAAGAAAACGCAAAGTATTAATACTTCGAAGCATTATGGAAGTGTCTGCACTCCTGTACCCGAGAATCCTAACCATCACAGGTTGCAGAACGTCATTTGGATCATCTAAGCTACAGATACAATTTTTTGCACAAATAAACTTTACACGATGCTTAGCCATCATTTTTGGCATTTGTGTTAGTCAAAAGTAGCTTCCTAAGGCCTTCGCCGGCACCGCATCGTTACCTAAGTAGGAGGTCGGGAGACTGGCGTCATGGTCTAGAAGTCAGACCACCAGCTGAAGGCACTCAAGCGGTGATCGTGAGTGTTTCACTACCGAGATAAGACAATGAAGAATATGTTTTAACTGACTTAGTGGTAGCACGGAATCAATAACAGCAACGCAGTGAACAATGCTATTAGACCTTTAAAAGCATTTTGAATATGAGTTTCACACTTTTTAATGCGCTGCGGTCAAATTGGAAACATCTACTATAATACCAAAGCATTATGGCTTGATCCTGGATCTCGGAGATGCAGGAATGGCAAATATTTTCGTGCAAGTCGACTGGTATAGTAAAATCCTTAATGCCAGTATCATGGTGGGCTCCATTTCGCCAAATAGTATGCGCTAAGTAGGCAGGCTGTTTTAATGGCATAAAAGTCACTTCGTCCATTTTTGAAGATATTCTTTATTGAAATGTACTGCAAAACATCGCAATATGTGGCGGTTACAAACAAATTGCCCTTATTAACTAAATAAAAAGCTCGAGGTCCTGAAAGCTTATCTACCCAAGCATAAGTTTAATTTTCTAATTTTAGAAATTCCAAGCGATGACCTTTCATTCGGATGGAGGTTGAACCATGCATTATTGACTTTAGACTTATGTAAAGCAACTGTGCGTTAGCACCATTTTTACTAAAATAAACACTTGTAGAGTACAGATTTAGTGTTTATATGCGCAAAAAATCCTAAAGACTGTATGCTAAAGCGGAATTCTACTTAATAGGTTGTCAGTAGAGATTATATTATGCTTTAGCAGTGGGAACGAAAAAGCTGATTTAAGGGACCATCCACTTCGAATTTGTTGACTTTGATAAATTGACTACGAATTGGAAAGTCATATTGCCAATAAGTCTCATTAAATATGGCGGGAAAAGTGCGTTGGATTTGATGACCATCCACTTATTTTTTATTTTAACAAAGATCGCAGTTGCACAATCTATGAAGGCGCAGTTTTACGAGACAAACCTTACGGTTGAGGCACTTGATTAATGAGTCTACCATTGCAATAGAGCTTGCTTTATCTACTACGATCGTAAAAAAGCTCACAAATGTTTCTAACATCCCGCATTGCTAAAAATCCTTCAACATTTGACCCACCATGTTAAAACAACTGCTTCCCTGTAACAATACTTTGCGTCAGCAACACAAACTGTAGTTGTGCATGATCAAATCCCAATCCCTCCCAAAACTTGCAGTA